TGCTAATCCTCTGGCGGTTTTCTGGGTTATTTAGGCAGGTGTAGGTGGAATCTAAGTGATCAGCAGGACGCGCGGTGAGCCCAGCGTCCTCCTAAGCCACCATCTTCCCTCTCCAACACTGTTTAACTTTTGAGGAAATTCAAAACTGTTTTCCAAAGTTGCTGCACCATTTTGCAATCCCATCTATTTTACATGCCTGGAATAAATCTCACTTCGTCATGGTGTATAATCCTTTTTATCTGTTTTTGGAACTGTTTTGCTTATGTTTTGTTGAGGACTTTTGTGTCTACATTCATTAGAGATATTGCTCTCTAGTTTTCTTTCTTTCTTCCTTTTTTTTTTTTTTTTTTTTTTTTTTCATCATATCTTTGTCTGTCTAGTTTTGGTATGAGGGCTATACTGGCCTCATAGGATGAATTAGGAAGTGTCCCTTACTCTTCTTTCTTTTGGAAGAGTTTTGGAAAGTTTAATGCTAATTCTTCTTTAAACATTTGGTGGAATTTACCAGTGAAGCCTCTGGTCCTAGGCTTTCCTTTGTGTGAAGTTTATTATTATCATTATTATCATTATTATTATTATTATTATTAATTCAATCTCTTTTCTTGTTATAGTTCTATTCTTTCTCCCTCCACCCTAGCACATATGGTTGTTGCTGTCATTTTATTTAATGACTTTTTTTAAAAACTTACTGTAAAGTCTGTACTCTTTGTCACATGTAATCACCAAAGTTTTGCTTGATTAGTTTAATTATGAGCTAATGATTGGGTTGCGATTTCCTTAGACACCTGGAACCAATCTCCAGCCTTTGCCAAGAATCTCTGTTTGTGTAGGAACCTTTAACACTCAGCCAGATAATTGACAACTCGTCCTTAAGCTTACTGTCCTGCTTTTGTGCATGGCCTGGATGTCAACCAGAAGTGAAAATGTAGGCCTGTCCCAGGTGCTTCCTGAGCATGTGTGCAGTCCAGGACATGAACTCACCCCTATGCATGTGCACAGCTTTCTAGATTTCTATGAATATATTGGGGCTTTTCACTGCCATTACAGACATCTCATTTCCCAGATTTTCCTCTTAACCTTTTTTTTTTATCTGGCTTATTTTTTGCTCCAACTGTTATCCCTGTTCTGGGAGCTGCAAAGTTAAACAGTGGCTTTTAATTGGGTTCAATAAATGTCCCTAAGGGGAAAAAGGCTTTTAGCACTGAGTCAGGTCAAGTCAAAGAAAGAAAGAAAGAAAGAAGTTAAAGGAAAAGAAAAGAAGAGAGGGAAGAAAGAAAGAAAAAAAGAAAAGAAAGAAAGGAAGGAAAGAAGGAAGAAAGAAGAAAGAATGAAAGAAAGCCTTGCAGGTCGGATCTTCTAGAAAGCCATCAAGCAATTCAAATTATGACAATTCTGTGGAAAGGAGGATTTAAAAAATGTGCAACCCAGTTGTGCCTCTCTTGTGGCTACCAGGCTGCTCTTTTCACCATGTTTGTAGGGCTGTGGACTTTCAAGGCTACTGTGGAGCCAGAGAGGGGAAAATAGTGTAGGGTAAGTCAAAGCACCACAAAGCTCCCTCTTCATCCTGAAATTTAGGCTTGTTTATTAAATAAATGCTTCCTGGATTGTTGCAAGCCTTTGGTTAATTTCCAGAGTTCTGGGAAAGTTAATTCTGACAAATTTTGCCAGTTTTCTCATTGCTGTTATGGAGGAGAGAATTTTTGGAGGTCCTACTTGTCACTGCACCCTCTTGACCTCTTTTGATAGATGGATTTTCTCCTCATTATGGGTTATATTTTCCTGCTTATTTGCATGCCAGTTAATTTTTTAAATTGCATATTAGACATTATGAATTTTACCTTTTTGGCTGTTGGCTATTTTTTTTTTATTCATATGCATGTATTTTGAGCTTCATTCTGGAATGAAGTTACTCTGTCTGGAAACCATTTGATCCTTTCTTGCCTTGCTGTTAAGATTTATTAGGTCAGGCTAGTACATTGCTTAATCTAAGGTTAATTATTCCCCTCTACTGTGGCGAGACCCTTTTGAGTACCTATTGTCCCATGTATATAAGATTTTCCAGTCTAGCTGGAGGGAACAGGCACTATATTTGGTCTCATGTGAGTACCAGATATAGTAATTTCTGGTAAGACTTCTGGTTTGTTCATTCTTTGGCCTCGGTTAGTGTCCTCACATGTATGTGTATACTGGTGGGAACCGTGCTGTCCCCTTGTGTTTCCTTTTCTTGTTCCAAGATCTGGAAACTCTCAAAATAGTAGGCTAGAGCAATTATGGGATCACTTGTTTTATTTCCATCTCCCGGGTATCACTATACTTTATTGCCTAATGTCCAATGTCTTAAAAGCCATTGTTTGGTACATTTTGTCCAGACGTTTCTGCTGCTTCAGGTTAGAAGGCAACTTATTTCTTGTCACTCCATTATTGCTGGAAACAAATATATTTGCCTATTTTTCATCTTTAATAATATCACTTACCTGTTTTAGTCAAATGGTATTATATATTACAGTATATATATTAAGATAAATGTATGCTAACTTATATATAATTACTAGTAAGTTAAGGATAATAAATGTTCTTTATTTTAGATAAGAACCCGTAATATGTTCCATTTCTCTGAAGCTGTGACTTTCAGGAGATAAAGCTTCATCCAATTAAACTGTTAGCAATGTAATGGAAAACAAAACCAAAAAAGCACAGGCACTACAAATAGACAGTCTAGCTGGAATCTGCATCCTTTCCATTTATTGGTACAACTCTGGAAATGTTATCCAATGTCTCTGAACATTTGTTTACTCATCTGTAAATGAGGCTAATAAATTAGATTATAGTCCAGTATATATTAAGCACCTGGCAAACATAGGCCCTAATTAAGATTAAGGGCATCTTTTTCTCTCCTTATAATTGTGTATTTTTCAGTGTGCAGGTAACTGCGGATTTAGTTACCGACAAAGGATTACATACTGCATTGCAGTCTGGTCTACTGAGAAATATAAGCTTCATCAACTTTGGCCTATAGACTATCGAGAATGCCCTGTTCTGCCTTCCCCTCAGGTTTACAAATGCAATTTTAGGAGCTGTTTGCATGTGGCCACTTGGAAAGTTGGAAAATGGAGCAAGGTCAGTATATAATTATGAATTTAAAACCTTTTGAATGAGACTTTCTAGGTTTAGTATGCCTGGTAATCTGCACCGCTAACTAGATTGTCTTATACAGCTTTTGTCTAAAAACCACTATCAGTTACTTGTATAAATATCTCTTTTTCTATGCTTGCCTGCTTACAAGCAAGGACCATGACTAATAACTTATTGCTGTTCCTCAGAGAACTTGGCACAGTGGTTTGCATTTTGAGTAGATGCTTAAGAAATATTTATTGGTTAAGTGAAGAAGCAAATAGATTGGATGTATGAGTAATGAAAGTCATTGGCACTATATTCCATTCTCTATTTGATAGAAAGCAAGTGAATGAATATTGCCTTGTAATCTTAGCATCTAACCATGAGAAAAAACTTTATAGTCTTAATAACCATCATCAATAATGCTTATCAAGTATTTACAATATACTGTTGATATAACTATACAAAATAAATGAAAAGAAGACAGTAACTGAGAAATAATAGATTCTGGCTCATGCCTAAGGATTACTTTCACCTGTGATTGTCCAGCCTCCAGGATATTTTTATATCTGCAATAGGTCTAGCCACTATGGATCACCAGTTTGTTCCAAAGGGGCCTAGTCTGAAAGGAGAAAATATGGGTTTACTGGCCTTATTATCTAACATTATCTATCACTGTATCCTGTTCACAGTGCTCAGTGACTTGTGGAGCTGGGAAAATGGAGAGAAGAGTGGAATGCGTGTCTATAAATGGTCGGTCTAGTAACTTATGTTTAAAGCGTTTAAAACCAGATGCTCAAAAGAAGTGTTATGTCAATGATTGTAAGTAATAGACTTTAAAAATCTACCTAGTACCTGGGTGTTCCTGGGAAGTTTTAGTTAAAATTTGAAAATAGGGGTGGCTGGGTGGCTCAGTTGGTTAAGTGTCCAACTTTAGCTCAGGTCATGATCTCATGGTTTGTGGGTTTGAGTCCCACGTCAGGTTCTGCGCTGACAGCTCAGAGCCTGGAGTCTGCTTTAGATTCTGTCCTTCCCTCTCTCTCTGTCCCTCCCTGCCCTCTCTCAAAAATAAATAAACAGAAAAAATTTAAATTTTTTTTAATGTTTATTTATTTTTGAGAGAGAGAGAGTGTGTGTGAGTGGAGGAAGGGCAGAGAGAGAGGGAGACACAGAATCCAAAGCAGGCTCCAGGCTCTGAGCTGTCAGCACACAGCCTGACGCGGGGCTTGAACCCACGCACTGTGAGATCATGATCTGAGCTGAAGTCGATCGCTTAACCGACTGAGCCACCCAGGCGTCCCATAAGCAGAAAAAAATTAAAAACAATTTTGAAAATAAATATTTGTAGTAGTCATGCGTTCCACAAAACAAAATGTCTATTTTTTTTCAGAATATAACAATTTTAGTATGATTGAGCTAAATTCATGCTAAGTTTGTTCTTTGTTCATTATTGATATGTATTCATTTGTCCTTGAAGGTAAAACATTTACCAGCTGCAAAGAAATCCAAGTGAAAAACAACATTACCATGGATGGTGACTATTACCTTAACATTAAGGGAAGAATAATAAAGGTATTTTGAAAGCAGTTTGTATTTGATTTTAACATGGGCCTTTGACTGGAGAAACCTTTTCTAGATGTTTGTATTTTCCCTCTAGATCTATTGCACAGGCATGCACTTGGAGAACCCCAAGGAATATATATCATTGGTTAAAGGTGAAGAAGACAACTTTTCTGAAGTGTATGGTGTTAGGTATGAGATTTTGGCTTATCTGTGCATTTTTATGGTCCACCAAGAGAATTAGAAGTTCCAGCTTTCAGAGTGATACTAGAATAGCTCACAAGTGGGACAAGTAATTTAGGAGCAGGTGAACATGTTAGGACCTAAACCAGATGTTGTCCAGGCCTGTTTAATAAAGACTTGAATATTAACATGGGCTCACAGAAGGTGAGCCGTGGGACAACAGAGAAGAGTTTAAGAGCTATGTTTATTTTAATAGAAATAAAATTAATAAGGGGTGCCTGAGTGGCTCAGTCAGTTAAGCGACCAACTCTTGATTTTGGCTCAGGTTGTGATCTCATGGTTTGTAAGTTTGATCCCACATCACGCTCCATGCTGACAGTGCAGAACCTACTTGGGATTCTCCTTCTTCTCTCTCTGCCCTTCCTCAGCTTGTGCACGCGCGCGCTCTCTCTCTCTCTCTCTCTCAAAAGAAATAAACTTAGAAAAGGAAAGAAAATTAATAACAATAATAAAATCTAGGAGAACTATAGCTGAAATATTTTTCCATAAACCATGCTTGAACTTCCCATTGAGAATCAGATGTTAATCTTTGGTGATTTTTACATCTTTCTCATTTAGCTTACTGACACTATAATATTGAAGAAGTGTATCTTTTACTCTCCTACTTCCAAAGTTTACCTTTATCTACATGATGGGATAATTACTGCATACTAAAATTATTCTAATGTTGTTTCAGACTACAAAATCCATATGAATGTCCTTTTAATGGAAGTAGGAGGCAAGACTGTGAGTGTAAAAATGACTACCTGGCTGCTGGACACACTGTTTTCAGCAAAATAAGAATTGATCTCAGTTCCATGCAAATTAAAAGTAAGTGCTGCAACTCTAAAATGAAAAGCCTCTAGTTGCGAATGAAATTCAAACAATATGCTGGTGTATATGATAGCTAAAGTATAGAGAACGGCCTCACATTGTGCAACAATTACCTAACTTTTTAAAAGAAGTTAATAGCTACATAATTTCTTAGCAGTGACATGGACCATGGGGATCCTAAATAAAAACATTGTGGTAATGACGGTGATAAGATGTTGCCTTTCCAAGATACAAGCCTTTGTCTTAAAATCCTCAATTACATTAAGGGCAAGGAAGTTAATATCCTCAACATAGTTGTATAAGCTTTTTGCAGGGCTTAGAGTGATTATTAACATCAGTTTCAGTTCACAGTTTGTCAAGTATTTTCTCATAAATTGTCTCATTTGATCTTTTTTATAACTCTGTACTAGTCAGGGCAGAATTGCATCACATCGTTGCAAGTGATGAAATTAAGATGCACTTATAAAGGTAAGTCACTTGTCTCAGTTTATACAGTTAGTAACTGGCATTTAGAGATAAAGTCCCACCCACAGATCCCAGATTCTGGACCTGCTGCCTTTCTAGGAAGTAATTCAGAGTATAGCCAAATCAAAACATATTTATAAAACCTGATACACACTGTATATGAAGCAGCCTGCCATCCTGGAAGTTGCATTCCTACCAGAAAAGGCAAAGAAGTTCATTTCAGAAACAGAAACTGTAAATTGCAATTGAATCACCAGTTTCATGGTTTTATAAACATAGTTTATAGTTTTATAAACTATAAAAAGAAACAAAAAATCATTGAGACAGAGGATGCATGAGTACATCATCTGTAAATCACAGTCATATGATGAACTATTGTTAGTAATAATAGCTACCATTTACTGAACACCCACTGTTACTGCAGTGGGGAAGCATTATACTGTTATGTTTACAATTCTGGAGTTAGAACGCCTGGGAGTAAATTCTTTGCATCCATTTACCAGTTACCTAACTTTGGGCATATCTCTTTAAACCTAAATTCCTTCATCTGTATAGTGAGAAACTGACTCTCAGATTTTTTTCTTCTTCTTTCTATCCTTCTTTTTTCCTTTCTGGTGATGATTAAAAGATAATACTTGTAACATACCTATTAAGTGCCTTACATATAGTAAATGCTCTGTAAATACTAGTTGTTATTAATAATGTATGTTGTAGCATTGCTAAGTACATAAGGGGAACTTGGTAACTTATTTGCTGTTTATTAAGTTGCTATAATTCATGATTTTATTGAACAATCCTGCCATTTGCCAGGCATTAGACTGGGTCCTAAGGATATAATGTTGAATGCATACATTTTCAACTCCCTAGTCTCTCTTTTCTTTCCTCACATTTGGGTGTCAAAAACCAGTCTCAATTAAATATTTCCTCTCTGATGCACTTGCAACATGAAACATGAGTGTAGTACCTCATCCACTGCTCTTCTCACTGCTCTCACCTAAATGCATGGCTACTAAGCTCATGAGAATCCTTCATGCTACTGAGTAATCTTGTTGTCCTCCCCTAGTTTATTCCCACCCCCAACCCCCTAAATGCCGAACATCTTCTCCTCTTGCTGCAAATTTCTAAAATTTCTAACACTTCCACTTTATCTACTCATTGCTAATGATCTTGCTTCCTATCTCACTGAGAAAGTAAGAACAACTGGAAGAGGATTTCTACAACCACGCCATCTGCAACCTACCCAAACCTTTACTTACTGACTTCCTTCTCTCCTGCTTACTGTGAATGAACTATTCCTGCTCCCACCTAAGGTAGCTCTCTCTTGTGCTCTAGGCTCATCACATTGTACCTACTCAAGAACATTTCTCAGCGCACTTTCTCTTCTCTCTTACATCACCAGTTCTATCTCCATTTCTCTAAATCCAGTGACAAATTTAGTTTTCATCTCACTTGATCTATCAGCAGCATTTTATCCAGGTCCCCATGCTCTCATCACTTTGTGCCTGACCTGGCCACTCTCTCCTGTCTTTCTCACTGTTTCTCGCCTTGACTGGCTACTCTTCATCTTCTACAGCATGTTGAAAAGCTTTAGGACACAGTCACCCCTTGGGAATCTCTATTTATAGGTTTCAAATGATGGTCCCAAATATATATCTCCAATTTGGACTGTTACCCTAAACTCCAATATTCATCTCTTGACAGCAAATCCACATGAATGCCTAATAGGCATCTCAAACTCAAAGTATGCAAAACTTTGCTTTCAGTATTTCTTCCCACATCCACTCCTTCCATCTCAAATTTTTATCATTTCAGTAAATGGCATGTATAGTCTCCTAGTTACTCCAGCTAAAATTTGGCAACATCTTAGCTTCTCCCTTTCTCTCACACCTGCATGCAATCCATTATCAAATTCTGTCAGATGAATCTCTAACATACATGCTACTATGGACTGAATCATGTCTCCCAACATCCATGTGATGAAGCCCTAATCCCCAATGTGATGATATTTGGTAATGGAGAGATAATCGGGTTTAGATAAGGGTACGACCATTATGATGGGATTAAGGCCCTTTTAAAAAAAAAGAGAAGACACCAGAGCTCTCTCTCTGCCATATGAGGACACAGCGAGAAGGGTGACCATATACAAGCTAGAAAGAGGGCTCTCACTGGAACCTGACCCTACGGGCTCACTGACCTACACCTTCCAGCCTCCAGATATTAGAGAAGTGCATTTCTGTTGTTTAAGCCACCCACTTCATGGTGGTTTTTAGGGCATCCTGAGCTAAGACACATATCAAAAATTGAGTAATTTTGATACTCCCTACCTCATTGCTGCCATCTTGGTTTGAGTCCACACCATTTTTTCACCCGGCTTATCATGCCTACTAAAATTATAGTATTCCTATTTCAGTATTGCATGACTCTCCCACCTCCTGACCTAGATTCTCAGCAGAGAAGCCAGAGTGATCCTATGAAACATAAGACATGTCATATCTTATACATTACCCCATTTCATCTTTTTGACAACCTTGAACTCTGATGAAAACTCTCCAAACATTTCCCATCTGACTCAGGAAAACAAAAAATACTTTCAATGGTCAACAAAACTCAACATGATATCTCCACCTCCACACCTCTCTGCTCTCTCTTTCCACACTCTTTCCTTGTACACTCTGTTGCAGACACACTCGTTTCTTTGCTGTTTCTTGAACACTTCAAGCATACTCTCGCCTCAAGGCCTTTGCACTTTGTTCTATTTGCCTGGAACAGTTGTGGCACAGTTACCTGTATGGTTTACTCCTTCTTTTGGATTTCTGCTTAGTTTTGTCTTTTTCAATCAGGCCATCCTGGACCAGTCTGCACTCCTAAACTCCCTTTCTCCTCTTGTTTTAATTGATTTAATTTTTCTATAGCAATTATCACCCCTAACATAATGTGGTATTTACTTGATTACCTGTCTCACTCTGGTAGGACTCCGGTTCCATCAGCCTCTATGTCCTCTAATGATGTGTGCTTAGAGTAATTAAAATAATATTCAATATACCATAGGTTCTGAATAAATACTGTTTGAATGAAAAGTCTTCAACTTTCCTCAAGAAACTATCTTGAGAAAATCTTGAAGATAAATTTGAATTAACCAAAGCAGAGAAAAGGAGTTTCAGGAGGAGGGAACAGCCTGGAACAAAAGCCTGGAAAATGTGAATCATCTTGGTTTCATTAAAGAACAAAAAGTCCAGAGGCACCTGGGTGGCTCAGTCAGTTAAGCATCTGACCTTGGCTCAGGTCATGATCTCACGGTTCATAGCATCGGGCTCTGTGCTGACAGCTCTGAGCCTGGAGCCTGCTTTGGATTCTGTGTCTCCCTCTCTCTCTGCCTCCCCCTGCTTGTGCTCTGTCTCTCTGTCTTTCAAAAAAATAAATAAATAAACATTAAAAAAATTTTAAAAAGAATAAAAAGTCTATTTTTCTCCAAGCATAAATTGAATGGATGTTGGGGGATGGTGGCTTGTTAGAGAAGTTCCCAGAGAGCAGATCATGAAGAACAGTGTATGCTAACTACACAGTTGAGTTTTATAAGTTATGAGAACCATTGGGTATAAGTTTCAGCAGGAGGAAAGACACTTGGAAGGAGAACAAATTTTATTCATGAAAATAGTTAAGAAGCTAATATAATAATCCAGATAGAAAGTGATAAGGGCTTAGAGTAGGGACTAGGTTCAGAAGAGAGGGCCTTCAAGAAATTTTAAAGAAGTACACTTTTTAGGATTTTCTAATGGAAGGAATATGGGGATTACCAGCATACAATATTTAGAAAGATTTCCAGAATAACAGAATGGATGGTAACACAGTTCATTGAGATGAGAAATATAGCAAAAGAAGTAAGTTTGGAGAAAAAGGTAGCGCATTTAGTTCGGGTATGTTGAGATGCAGCTATCTGTGGGTTACGAGGGTAATGATGGAGAAGATAGTAGCAAAGCATGCTTGATTTGAAAGTTGTGTTTCCTCTGTCTCCGCCCAACCCATAAGTGCCAGCATAAGCAGTGGTGTGAGGATAAATGTTTAACAACCAGCATTTAACAACCAGGAATAACATCTGATTTGTAGAATTTGCCAGTGTCTGTAGTTATATATATTTCCACCATGCCAACTTTAAGCTACCAACATGAGCTCATTGTACATGGAATTGGGAAGAGACACACCCAACTGGTGCTCATGATTTGGCACAAGCTGACTCTGGCACATAACTGAAAGCCCCCTAGTCTTGGAAACTGCCATTGGTGATGTATTTCCAGCAATGCCCCCTTTGGGGATTGCCTTTAGGGGATTGGTGTCATCATAGGGGGCATGCAGTAGTCATGAAAAGTAATGCAGTAGTCATGAAAATTAAAGTGATATAAGTCACACAGAGAAAGACAGATACCATATGTTTTTACTCTTATGTGGATCCTGAGAAACTTAACAGACGACCATGGGGGAGGGGAAAGAAAAGAAAAAGCTTAGAGAGTGAGGGAGCCAAAACATAAGAGACTCTTAAAACCTGAGAACAAACTGAGGGTTGATGGGGGGTGGGAGGGAGGGGAGGGTGGGTGATGGGTATTGAGGAGGGCACCTGTTGGGATGAGCACTGGGTGTTGTAAGGAATCCAATTTGACAATAAATTTCATATTAAAAAAATTTTTTTTAATTAAAAAAAAGTAAAGTGATTTAAAACAACATTAGTGGAGGGGACATCCACTAACTGGAAGACTGTTGATTGAAATATTATTTAAGTGATTCAAGAATGATTTTAGGGTTCCTTCCAACCTGTTTTTGATCCAATGACTCTATTTTTGATACTTCATACAGAATCCCCAGCATTATTGCCAAACAAGTTTTGCTAACAATTTTAGCAAATGTAAGATTCAAAAGAAAATAATAATACAATGCAGTAATATATACATTATTTACATATACACATATATATGCATAGATACATTTATGTATAAATATATGTGGTCTATAAGCACTTATGTGTTGCTTTGTCATAATTTGTTAAACTTTAATGTTTTTTCTTCTGTAATTTGCTCCTGACCCCACTTTATTTTAGATATTCACTATTATGTAAAATATAATAAGGCATTTCGGTTTTTAAAACTTTTTGATTAATTACTCATGTACCTGCCATTTTTAGGGTAATTTTTGAGATAAACATCTTTTATTTAAAAATTATTTATTGGTGGACTTCAAGCTGTATTGCAAAGCTATAATCATCAAGACAGTATGGTACTGGCACAACAGACACTCAGATCAATGGAACAGAATAGAGACCCCAGAAATGGACCCACAAATGTATGGCCAACTAATCTTTGACAAAGCAGGAAAGAATATCCAAGGGAATAGAGACAGTCTCTCCAGCAAATGGTGCTGGGAACCTGGAAAGCAACATGCAGAAAAATGAACCTGGGCCACTTTCTTATACCATACACAATAAACTCAAAATGGATGAAAGACCGAAATACAAGACAGGAGGCCATCAAAATCCTTGAGGAGAAAGCAGGCAAAAGCCTCTTTGACCTTGGCCGCAGCAACTTCTTACTAAACACGTCTCCAGAAGCAAGGGAAACAAAAGCAAAAATGAACTACTGGGACCTCATCAAAATAAAAAGCTTCTGCACAGTGAAGGAAACAATCAGCAAAACTAAAAGGCAACTGACGGAATGGGAGAAGATATTTGCAAATGACATATCAGATAAAGGGTAAGGATCCAAAGTCTATAAAGACCTTATCAAACTCAACACCCAAAAAACAATCCGGTGAAGAAATGGGCAAAAGACATGAATAGACACTTCTTCAAAGAAGACATCCAGATGGCCAACTGATACATGAAGAAATGCTCCACATCACTCATCATCAGGGAAATACAAATCAAAACCACAATGAGATACCAGGTTACACCTGTCAGAATGACTAACATTAACAACTCAGGCAACAACAGGCAACAAAATGTATATTTATACATGGCAAGGATATGGAGAAAGAGGATCTCTTTTGCACTTCTTGTGGGAATACAAACTGGTGCAGCCACTCTGGAAAACAGTATGGAGGTTCCTCAAAAAATTAAAAATAGAACTACCCTATGACCCAGCAATTGTACTACTAGGTATTTACCCAAGGGATACAGGTGTGCTGTTTCGAAGGGACACATGCACCCCATGTTTATAGCAGCTTATCCAGCAATAGCCAAAGTATGGTAAGAGCCCAAATGTCCATCGATGGAGGAATGGATAAAGAAGATGTGGTGTGTGTGTGTGTGTGTGTGTGTGTGTGTGGTTTCAAATATGAAATCTTGCCATTTGCAACTACATGGATGGAACCAGAGCGTATTATGCTATGCGAAATTAGAGAAAGATAAATATATGACTTCATTCATATGAGGATCTTAAGACACAGAACAGATGAACACAAGGAAAGGGAAGCAGAAACAACATAAAAAAAAAAAAGAAAACAGGGGGGGACAATACATAAAATACTCATAAAAATGGAGAACAGAGGGTTAGTGGAGGGGTGGAGGGGGATGGGTTGTGGGAGGGTAAGGAGAGGGGATATTCATCTACCTGAAATCATCAAAGACGTCCTAGTAATATATGCCAACTAACTTGGATGTAAATAAAAAAATTAAATTAAATTAAAAAATAAATTACTAAAATAAAATAAAAATTATTTATTGAAAACCTGATATATGTTATGTAGTATAATTTGTAGCATATTTGCTTAAAACTTTGAATTAATTATATAAATATATTTAAGAATGTAATATAAAGACTGTATGCTTTGCAGTGAAGACTGGAAAGTATACCATGCCTCGATACTAAAAAGGTTCATTTATTTTTTAGCCACAGACCTTCTTTTTGCCCAGACAATATTTGGAAAAGCAGTGCCATTTGCCACAGCTGGAGATTGCTATAGTGCTGCCAGATGTCCACAGGTATGTCATGTTTGTTTATTTTTCCCTCACTGTAAAAAAAAAAAAAAAAAAGGATACTCTTTCTCTTAATTTTCTTGACCATAATATTGCAAGAAACATAAGTAAATAGAAAATATGAATTTCCTATATGAATTTTATTTCAAAGCTTATAGATAAATTTTGGAGGAAAAATACCTTTGCCAATTTTAAGTTTGCTTAAGAGGTGTAATAGCGAGGATTTTCAAATTATTCAGAGCCTATTTCTCCTTCCATGATGCATTTTCATTTTTAATCTTTCTACCCAGTCTGTGGAAATGAACGTATGTATAGAACAAAGTAAAAAACTGGATCACAAGCTTGTGACTTTCTTATACTGCTGCTAACATTGGCTATATTAGCTGTCTGGGTATGTACCAGACCCAGAGTAACTTTCTATTATTTGTGAAATAGTATATTTCCATGACTTTATTCTTATTTTATTTTTTATATCCAGAGTTCTCTTCACATACCCTTTATGCCATCTCTGTGATTTCCAGTGTAGAGTATGCTTTCTAGAAGAAATTTACTATCCCATTTTTAGAATTTTTTTTTATTTTAATAAAAAAACGGGGGAGAAAGGAATAGAGAGGGGAGAAGGAGAGAGAGAGAGAAAGAGAGACAGAGGGAGAGAATCTTAAGCAGGCTCAACTCTAAGCACAGGGCCTGTTGCGGCAATCCCAAGACCCTGGAATCATGACCTGAGCTGAAATCAAGAGTCAGGCACTCAACTGACTAAGCCACCCAGGCACCCCTTAACAAGAGATTTTATAGAGTCTATGTGAACAACAGTGTCATGATAAGATGGAGAAATGTAAGCTAGATTAATGTAGCATTGTTAGGCGGATTCATAACTAATTCAAAAATCATGCACAAGAGGTAATAACTATAATATTGATATTTTCAAGAGAAGTGGCTAATGGTTTGCCATAGCCCTCTCGTCTTGGAATTTCCCATTCACTATTTTAACCATCTGACAGAGAAGGTATACTTATGTTAAAAAGAGAAGGCGTTTTCTATATTATAAAAGGACACTTAAAGGAGATCAAAAGACACTAGAACTATGGACTCAAATGAATAAGAAAAAATAAATTTCTAAATTTTAGGTACAGAAATGCAAATAGAACATAGTGATGTCATATGAAAAAGACCGAGGTGTTTTATTCAACCACCACAAGTTCAATATGACTCACATAGATTATGGAGTAATTTCTAAACCACCCAGTATAATCATAAAGTACCCAAACACAATATCAACACCAAAAGATTTTAAATCTCTGTCTGGAAAAGGTAAGTTTTTAATCTGTCTAGGAGTGTAGGAGGCAACAACCAGGGGAAAAAAGGAGAGTTTACATTATGTCACATAAGGAAAATAAAGGAAGCTAGGAAAAGAATGGGAAGCTATGGTAACTATCTTTAAATATTTAAAGAGCTCCATGAAAGAGGGGTGAGGTCAGTGCGTGTTATAGGGCAGAAGATTCCAGCTCAAGCTAAAGAAGGCTTTTGACAAGGGAGAGTTGTCCAGTAAAAAGACTCCCAAGATCTGGGGCCCAAATAAATCACGAATTTTTGCCTATGGTTTTTATGAATTAGTCTTGTATCCTGCAACCCTGCTGAATTCACTTTTTAGTTATAATAATTATTTTCTTGGATTCTTTGGAATTTTCTATATACACAGCAATGCCATCTAGAAATAAAGATAGTTTTACTTCTTCCTTGGCAATCTGGATGCCATTTATTTCTTATTTTGCCTCATCACCCTGCCTAAAACTTCCAGAGCAGTATTAAATGAAAGTGATGAGAGTGGACATACTTGTCTTGTTCCTGATTTTAGGAGAAAAGATTGAGTCCATCATGAAGTGTGTTAGCTGTGGATGTGTTACAGATCCCTTGGATCAAGTTGAGGAAGTGCCCTTCTATTCCTAATTTAAGTGGTTTTATAATGAAAGAGTGTTTGTTTTTGAAATATTTCTGCATGTATTGAGGCAATCCTGTATCTCTTGTCCATTACTGTGGTGATATGGTATATCACACTGGTTGACTATTGTATGTTGAAACAACATTCCTGGGAGAAATCCCATTTGGCCTTGGTGTATATTTTTTTTATATGTTGCTAGATTTGATTTGCTTTGTTGGGAATTTTTCATCTATTTTCATAAGGCATATTGGCCTAATCATTTTCTTTTCTTGTGAGGTCCTTATCCAGTTTTTTTTTTTTTTTTTTT